CCCTAACAAAGAGAAATTGCTTGTTTTTGGAGATTAGTTTGAGAGGTTCCAAAGAGGAGGCCTTGAGGATCCCATATCTGATTAAATTCTGGAAGCCATTGAGTTTCAAGCAGGTTATGTCCGTTCGAAGAGTGCTACTTCACGCGCCTCTTTCTCTCTGTCGTTTCGTATAAAAGTCCAGTGCTTCCCTTTTCCAAACCGCAATTTAATGTTATCGTGCTCTCTATACAGTCACTTTCATTTGCCCATTGACGGTCGGCATAATTTTATTTTTAACTGCAGCAAGTGTGATAGCAGAGTCACGGTCTGGGTCAGATGCAGAGCGCACCTCGACACGCAATATAAAGTGTACTTCAGTTACATGAGCTTTCATAGGAGAGACACTTTATCAAGATTTGCTAAGAATTCCCTCACATGGTGCTCACTTCAATGTTTCCATGTGCTTGCAGAAATTTTAGGCGGACAAGAAGGCCATTGTGGCAGCTAACTTCATCAAACATTTATATTACGTGCCAAAATTTCGTACAGTAGGACAATTAGCCACTCAAGATTTATGCTTTACGGGCATTTTATGAGTCCTTTCTCATATTCGGTGAGCGAATTAGTACTTCGGCATAGTGATTTTAAATTGAACTTGGTTTTCAACTACTATCCAAGAGCGCATATTGGAACACTCCATTCATTCCATGCATTTATAGGTGTAAATTGGCAGTCATATTGGTGCTTTTTGTGCTCCCCTCTTTAAATTAATAGTAAGAGGATGCGTGAGACATACTGAGAAATCCAGTTTCGCTTTAGCTTTAAGTATGCCGTGGGAGGCTGGGAATCGATTACTGCGGGTTTTTCGTCGCGTTTAGCTCTTCTAATGTATTCGCCCGTGTTGTTTTCCTGTCGCTCGCCGAATTCTTCCACTTCTGTTGGCACAGGAGGATAAGCAGTCGAATTTGCCATTTCGTCCGCGTGACACGTCATCCTCAAATGGTATTGATTCCCGCAACCATGTTGTGAAGGGGTTCGTTCCGTCCTTAACGCGCTGCATTTTCTTTACTCTCTGAACTGTTGTCCTGTTTTTAATATGTGGTAGTAGGTTTATAGTTGGGCCAATATGCTCAGAGTTTCATGACTCATTGATTCGTATCACTGCTTTCACTGCTATCTTTTCACGCTGACGTATTGGTTACATTTTCTTGAAATTGGTCACAAATCACATGCTTTTGATATGATCACTTCGATACGAATCGATTGTTCAGGAGAGCGCAGTGTTCACGGATCTGTGCGATTGTTTGCCAGTGTTCTTGTTCAGGTGCGTGATGATCGATAATGGTTGGTGAATCATCGACAGTGCAGCCGCATTCCTGCTCGTCCTCGACGAATACCGTTCATCGTCTTGTTGAATGAGACCACATTCGATCCAGTCTTCACTCAAAACCAATACTGTGTAAGCTCTTTTTTTACCATTTGATGTTGTGGGACACTCACAACAAATGTGGGTATTCTTTTATGCATCACCCCTGTTTGAAGGGCATGGTTTCCTGACTTATGTTTCTGAAGTGACACATTGCGATAATCGTTTTTCATCAGTTTTCTGAGAGATCGAAATTGAGTGTGAAACTTTGGTAGGCTAAGGCTATGTAGAATGCTTACCTGAAATGCTAGGACTTCAAACGTGGAGTGTAACTACTGACCGTTGTTTTTCCGTACACTCACGCTTTTTTTGCTTTAAGCACACATTCGAAATTGGCATTCTTCTGATGCAAGGCACAGAAAAGCTCGAAAAACTAGACACTAGGCTCTTGGTATAAAAAAGCTGAGGGTTATATCACCTTTCCCGGAGTTTGTTAGAAAGACAGTCTTGTAAAGCTTTGTTGAACACCACGTTTGAGATTTCCTCAATGAGTGTCGTTCCTGGCAAGCTAAAATTTAGTAACATATGCTGAACAGACTCCGGTAGGACTGAAGGTAGAGTTTAGGGAGAAGAGCAAAGTCGCAGAGCATTGAAGGCTGTCTTGGTTATTGCTCAATGTGTTTTCTTACGATGCTGGCTAACGAGACATTAAAGGTGTTCTATTTCCTGCTCCTCGATTTTTGCGTACACCATGAGGTGCACATAAAACGTAGGGGGACAGGAGTGCCAGCAGGGTCAAGCGTGCGTTGAGGAATCCTCGACATGTCACAGAGGGGGGGGTCGTATTGGCCCGCTGGGGAGAGATCGGGCCCGATTGATACAGTAGGATCATCGTCGGAGGACAAACATTAAGGATCGAATCGATACCAGGCCAGAGTATTTCCAATAACAATTGATTCCGTCCACACAAAATCTTCGTGATTTAGAGGTGTCCGCTTAGCAATTCTTAGTGACTTTAGTGTTTCATCACCACACAAGTCAAAGGATCCGAAATTCGCACGTTTTCTAGGGATATTTTATCTTTCAAGTAGGTCCTCAAATCCAACGAGATGTGAAGCACACGGCGCATCCCAGAGTGGGCCCAGTTGGTTGCGCGCGCTTCAGCTACGGCTATCTTGATAACGAATCTTAATTCAGGAAGAATCAAGAGGGTTCTGAAAGAGTTCATGTTAAATTACAGAGAGGAGTACACTATTCAACAAGAAACGCAGCCTTCAGCGTCAAATTCACAAGCATGTAACCTTTAAAGTTGAGACCCGCTAAACAATTTTACACTTTTTGCAGAGAGAAAAGCACGAGGATTTTGAATCTGCTCCTACTTCAGTATGTAATCGCTCCTGCAAGGAGCTATAGTCGTTGGGATAGTGCTAATGTAGCGAAAGAGTATCTT